ACCGATATAACGCCGTAGCACACACTTAACATTACAAAAATTGCTGTCATAATATCACGTTGTACCGCGCCAAAGCGTATTTACACTCAACACACCCATCTGACATGCAAGATTAATGTGATTCTGACTTTACAAGACCTATCGCGCTCTCGCCGAATGACATTGCACCGCGAGTATTTAGACTTATGTCTATGCCGCGTGAACAGTCCCTGCTCTCCGCGACAAAGATCGCATTTAGATACCTTCTCGAGGTTCTCGCGGTGGATTGTGCCCCAGTCTTCTAAACGAAACACAATAAATTGTTTTTCACACAATTATACTGGTTATATAAATAGTCCGAAATGACATTTTCCGGAAATTACGTTTGTTCGAATTTTCGAAAGTAATTTTGAGAGGAATTTTTTTTAAACCTAACTTACCTAACCTAACCGAACCTAATCGTGTCTCTGCGATAAACATCCAACATATCCTGAAAGAACAACGGTTTCGTTATGATTCGGTTTTCGGTGTAGTGAAATATATCTCAGTACAGAGTACTAAAAAAACCGACCTCAAAAGTACGTGGAATTACGTCTATTTGCTAAGTTTTATTGAAATATCCTTAAATTCGCCACTATACAGGACTTCACACTGGAGATAATAAAAATCGGTTCTCACTACTCAAAGAATATTGAGAGAAAAACGCCTTGAAACGGACAAATAGCAAAATCAACCATTAAAATAATTGCTCCTTAAGAAAATTTCGGCGCTATTTATAAAAATGAATCTTCATGCGTGGACAGCCACCCTTAGAGGTGGATAATTTTCTTCAAAATTAAATGGACCACTATAGAAGTACCCCCTTTCCAACAAAAAAGAATCATGAAAATCGGTTTACATATACCGGAGTTATCGCGTAACATACATAAAAAAAAAACAAACAAAACACGCATTCGAATTGAAAACCTCCCCTTTTTAAAAGTCGGTTAAAAAAATCGAATTTGTGATAGGTTACCTATTATACTGTATATATAATCAGAGCAGATATTATTTTGTGTATCTCTAACGCTATATATCGCAAATATCTCGCATAATTACTACTATATAATTATATGCTATGTTTATTGCATACTTGCTTGTTCGCGCAACGCAATCGTAACAGCAGAATAGCAGTATAAAACAGCAGTATAAACAGTTGTTCGATAATGAGTTATACGTTGCGGTAGAATAATGCATTACATTATCTGCTGTTGTAATAATTACCACCTTTACTTGATAAGTTTGCGCACGGAAACAAGACACAGAACGCGCCCATATAACAAACAAATAGAAAGTGACCACGACTAAAATTGGTATTATTTAAATTTCACCTTACAAAACTTTATTATTTGGCGCTAAATTATTGTCTGGATCTCTATCAATCATCTAAATTCATTTTGGCTTCGACAAAGATAAAACGTGTAAAACTATTTGCTATATAAGTTAATATCTAAAAACGATTTCACATTTTATTGTCTGCTTTATAAATACTCAGAAATATATACTTTATACACCTGCGCTGTTTAGTTCGAAGCATTTAAAATTCTTTATAAACTACAGGATTACAAAAACTTGACTTCTACTTCCTTACATCTATAGAATAGATATCAACATTAAAGAAAAAGTTTAATGTGTAACAATAATACTCGTATATCACCTAGAAAGTTATATAAAGCGGACAGCTGCCTAGATTTTAAACTATAATATAGTATATATATATGTAACAAACTTAGATACTTAAAAAAAACATTATTTAAAAGTAAAAGAAATATCACAGGCAATAAATTTTGTGTCATAACATGTCGCATAACATTTAACCGTACAATTATTGTCATCATGATTCTTCAAATTCGTAGTTATAAAAAGACTTTAGCAAATTATAGTTTGTGTAACTTAGTAATAAAAATAATAATAATTAGTTGTACCACAGTCACAGTATCACAATACCGTCCCTACAGTAGCGCAACCAGAGAATAAAAAAGTACCGCGCAGCCTTATTACTCTGTCATATGTAGATATGCAAGGGTTGTCACAAAATGGAAAAAATATGTAATTATGACTATTATTGTAACGCAATCATTTATTAACATTATTAGATAAGTAATAAAATTTTATGTTATTAATTTTAACTGTATAATGTATTCGCATTCGGATAAAAAATTTAATCGTACAGAATGGGAGAAACACGGGCATGGGCTTGATTTAAATTCTACTTACTAAGTCAAATAATTATCATGTCGAATTATATCCAGGACAGTTTGTGTGCTGTTGTATTCATTCAACAATTGTCGTAGAATTTGCTGAAGGTATTCAAAAATACTTTAAATCACGCGTCTACCCTTAGCGCTTGATCTCACAAACTAAGCGCATTTGTGGGATGCAGCCCGCGACCCCCACTTCCCCGCAAATACCCCACTGTTGCGTATGGTTTGTAACACTGTGATTGTACTGACCACCAAGTCGTCTTTAAATATAAACAGCGGTACCGTCAAAAGCACTTCAAGACATCACACTCATCATCATTACATTGACTTATCGCTAGCGGGACAGAGTTGACTTTATATCATAAATGTCAAACTTGACGTGCTGTTGACCCTGTACCAAAATAGAAAAATAAACAGTAACATTTATTTAAAATATATTACAGAATAAATAAATATCACAGGCAATATTATTTGAATCTACGTCATAAATCGTTATTAAACGTTAATATTATTATTGTCATCGTAACTCGTCGACATCGTTAAAACATTTAGTATTTCCATCAGCATAAATTAAATTCATAAAACGATATCTAAAACAAGAATAACAATAATATTTATTCTATTTTCTACGTATATTTTTTATTATATTTTAAAGATTTAACATTGAATATGAATAAAAGTGGCAGGATATGATTTTTCGATATAATTATAGATTTGTAAATCTACTTCTTACAAATAACATGTTGATTGGGAGGACCTATACATTATTATACTTTTCAAAAGGACTGTACTTCGGAATGATAAGTAGAGACGTTACTAATATTTTCATTTGATATGTAACGTATGTCAGTGTGCATATCCCTTAATTTTTACAAACCCGAAACGAGCGGGCTAATTTTTACAAACCCGAAACGAGCGGGCATAGTTGGTATTAAAGGCTATACGGCTTTATGCCAACGCCGTTTAAAGTCTAGAAAAAAGTTGATATTAGAGTCAGGACGCCTTCAAACAAATTAGACGCTTGGAGAAAAACAGCAGCCGCGCGTTTGTCCCTCCGGTCGTTTTTAGGTCATTAGTTGTTACTGTAAAAAAACCGTAGTCCGTAATCCAGTTAGGTAAGTCCAACTTTGAGATCTCAGATCTCTCGTCGCATGCAGCTCGGATGAGCAGCGTTCGGGAAAATACAATAAATCTTTGCGTCCTAATTACCTCAGTGTCTCAAGACGAAAGTCTTTGACCAGTATGTGTTGCCAGTGATCACATATGGATCAGAAACATGGCCCTCACTATGGGCCTCATACGAAGGCTCAAGGTCACTCAGCGGGCAGTAGAGAGAGCGATGCTCGGTATTTCCCTACGTGATAGAATCGGATATTAAGAAATCCGTAAGAGAACTAAGGTAACCGACATAGCTCGAAGAATTGCTCTTCAATGGCGACCATGCACCTGACGACAGTCGGTGCGTAGGCTTCCCACCAGGTGGACCGACTATCTGGACGTGGGATGCCGATAGATGCGAGCAGTGCAGGACCGATCGTCGTGGAGATCTTTGGGGGAGGCCTATGCCCAGCAGTGGACGTCGTATGGTTGAATAATGATGATGATGATGATGATTTTAAAAACCGACCCCAAAAGTTCGTAGAATATCTATTTGCCAAGTTTTATTGAAATCGGTTACCGAAAAGTGCGTGAAACAGTACTCATGCCCCTAATTTTGCCACCCTTAGAGAATATTTTCGCAATTACCGGAGTCATCGCGTGACATACATGCAAAAAAAATACAGTCGAATTGAGGAACTCCTCCTTATTTTAAAGTCGGTTAAAAAGTGGCCCGCGCGTGTCACGGCTGTGGCGCCGCAACTACGTTTCTAAATATTGTATGAAAGTTAGTACTGGCTCCACTGCAGCACTTCTTTAAGCGTCTAATTCGAAAACCTGGCAAAAGAAGGCCTTAGTATTACCCGACTAATACAAATCGCTTCACATAGATATTGTACACGTGTTAAGATGTCAGGTTAAATAAGTATATATTACACTATAACTACAGTCAATTATACTTTCAGTTCCCGATTATCAAATTACTTTAATGTGTTCAAAAAACTATTAGCACTTTTGTAAGGTGCGTGCACATTTATATCGGAAAGACGATAAATTACATTTTACTCCGTAAAATTTAGCTTGATTAGAACGACAGGTCGGTCAAATTAGGGCCACGTAACCTTGTAGCAGCGTCTCACATATCATATTTTTTTAAACACTACAAGTCAATGATTATTTTACATATTTATATCCACAAATCATTGATAAATCACTGTTGGAGTCAATTGATTAAGAAATGTTGTTAAAGTTTATTTATTATTTCCTTAATGGCGGTCACTATTAGACTTGGGCCATTTTCACAATTTCACACGATGAAGTACAGAAGAAAGTACAGAGTCGGATGTAGTAGTCGAGGATGGGGAATTTTGAATATTTAATTATCTTCGAGAGCACAGTTGACTTGCAACTAATTGAAGATCGTTATCTAATGACACTCGAAACAATTAAATTTTACGGAGACCTATACACGCATACCGCGAAAAGCCAGCAACAAAAAGAATAAATACATTTTTAATACTTGGTAACAATATACTGTATATACATTGCCAGCTGTACTATTATAGTAGTAGGCAATGACGATATATGAGTACATTTTTTAACCTTATTCCTGGTTTTTAATATTATTCCGAATACTTTGTATAACTTCGAATATTAAAACATTTCTTATTGTCATGACATTGAAAATGAAGAAGCACCTGTCGTGTTCAAAAACCTCTAATTTGTTACCCTTATCTTTTCGCAAATGGTTATTAGTTCTGATAATGCTCCTCTTTTGGTAAAAAATTAAATGCGCATTTGACCTCCAATCTCACCTGATGGAAAATGGCGATAAGGTCAGGTAACGATGTAGCATGCACATCTAAATAATGCCTATCACTCTCGCCTTTGTTGGTTTGCTAGATTTCGATATCATCATGTGTATTTTGAATTTTTCGGCTCCTCTATTATTTTCCTTTGATTTTCCTCTTAGGGGTTACAAGGGTAAATTTACTTTTTTGAGAACTTACAATTTGCAAAATAGCTATTTAAATATTCTCTATCGAATATCAGCACTGACAGCTCATGGCAGATGATTTTATGCGTTCGAAGTGTTCAAAAATTTATTATGTTATTTTGATTGTATGGTGAGAATGAAATGCTTATGATAAAAGGTTTAAATTTGTGGTCACATGTGAAAACGGAATCAAAATCAACATTCTGAAATCAGGAGTTCGAAAGGAACGACAATATTTGTTTGTCCCGTCACTCTTTATTGGCACTACACTATAGACTGTTTTGCTCAAAAAACAGAATAGCTCTCCACTATTGATATTAACAAAGATTGTCCGTGTTATTTGAGAAATCGAATAGCGAATTTGAAGTCCATTTTCAAAATGTTCATGTGAGCTCTCATTAAGACGTTAAAAAATGTGGTCTAACTTTGTTGTATTCAAGTACAAATAAGTCCAAAATTTTTGAACACTTAAAACGCATGATTTTTAAAATGACTGCGATTCCAGACAGGTAACAAACAAACTACTACTCCTCATCATCAGTTTCGCAGCACCCAGGCCAGCAGCAACCCTCACTCCCATCAGGTCTAGTGCAGAAAAGCAGTGTCTCCGCCGTGGACACGGGTCTCGGCTCGATGCCGTGGAAATCACGAAGTTCTTCGGCTGGAAACCATGCGCGTTCTTCGTCTTCGATTATCGGGTAGCCGAAATATCTGGAATCAATTATGAATATCAAGTCAGTTACATCACGTAGGTACCTAAATTATTTCGTACTTATAAATCTGTACTCTAAAAGATGATCACATGATCTGTGTAACATGTTTCACTGCCTCTTGTAAGTTCTTGGCGCACTGGTTAGGACTTGTTATAATGTGAACACACTCAACAGCACTTAAATTTTTATTGAATTTAAAAAAGATCGAACACTTAGAAAAAATCTTTGTATTTATAATTATAACAAACTAGTGGAGTAATTTCACAACAAATCAAATCAAAATTTCAATACAATGAATAGTGACAGCTCTAGCTGGGGCTGGTAGCTGTAAAGGTATCTAACTGGGTGACGAAATATCATAGATGGCGCTACGGCTAAAAAGTCGTTGAAAAAACCAAATACAAAGGTACGACGCAAGCACATAGGAAAATTCGTGAGGTCAGCTGGTTCGTTCCGTGGCTTAGTTGGTATAGCGTCTGCCACGGTATGCTAGAAGATATCGATTCGAATCCGGTCGGATTGAAGGAATTTGTCTGAGTGTTCGATCTTTGTATTAATAATTATAGAAAACAGCACCATTAAAAATATTTATTATAATTTTTTTTTTATTAAAAATTAAGTGCGCATTTGACCTCCGTCTCACCTAATCAAAAACGACGACAAGGTCGACGATCGATGCACACCTAATAATGCCTATTTACACTCGCCTTGAAAAGGTTATAGCATTTAGGAAATAAGTCTACTGCCAGGGAATTCCATTCCATAGCCGTTCTTCATATAAACGTGGAAGCGCAACGTTTCATGCGAATTCTTGTAGTTCCCCAGCCAGCCGGTAGTCCCCCGATGATGGAAAAGGAAAAGCGTGACGCTCACACATGCACACTCCGTGACGTATTATTATTTAGTGGCAGTAGAGCTCCTGGTGACAGAGTTCATCCAGAGAAGTACTGCCACCGGTTCCGGTTTTGAAAGGTAAGGGTGCTGGCGAAATTACAGTCACACAGGACTTGTCAACTGGACGTAGTTAAGCAAAAAGGATCCAATCCACAAAATTATGAAAAAATTAATTATATATATTAAACGGTTCCTAAGGTGTAACCTCCTAGACCAGGAAAAAATCCAACATGTAAACATAAATAAATATCTCTGGAGTTAAATGACATTATAAGTTTTGAAAATAAAACAAGAGTAAGAAACACTTTTCAACTTCAAACTGTCATATCTTGAAAGTGTTTGGATGTGCATTGGATCCTTTTTGTTTAACTACGTCCAACTTATGTCCCAAGGTGACGGGCGCAGTGGTTGTGCCCCTCAGATCTTTGCGTTTTAAAACTCTGAGTGGCACTGCAACTGTTATGGATAGGCGTGTCGCTCAACACCAGGCGCATGACTTGTTACGTCACATATGTTATTAATTAGGTAATCCATAACTTCTCATTTGAGTAAGTAGTAAATGGTTATAAGAATAAAGTTTCTTCTACTGTTTCATCTTATTTTATTAGCTAGAGTTACACATCTAACACAACTATCAGAACTTCATCATCATATCAGCCGGAAGACTTCCACTGCTGAACATAGGCCTCCCCTAAAGATTTCCAGACCAGCCGATCGGACGCGACGTGCATTTATCGGTTACCCGCCGCCCTTACCAGGTCATCCGTCCATCTAGTAGAGGGCCGTCCCACTGAACGCCTTTCGGTTCATGGTCTTTATTCGTGTATCTTTCTGCCCCTACGGCCATCAGTTCTACGAGCTACTGCCACTTCAACTTGCTAATCCTTCGAGCTATGTCGGTGACTTTCGTTCTTCTACGGATCTCCTCATTTCTGATTCGATCACTATCAGAACTATCAGAACTCGTAGATAATTAAAACTAACCTGCATATAGCAAGTCCAGGAATCCACAGCACCGACGCCAGTACCAACACAAGAACCAGTAACACAGCCCAAATGGGCCACGGTTTCCTAACAGTATCCCCCTCCGATCGGATCCAGGCATCATACCCTGAACCCTCCGTAGCTAGCTCGAAAAATGAAGATATAAGAATGAGAAGCATCGCCAATGGGGAAAGGTACTTCCAGCAAATCAGCCAATAGATGCCTGGTCGCGTGCCGGTCATTAATTCTATGTCGTCTGCGAATCTGAAAATTTAAAAGAATGATTGTGTAATCGCTAAAAAGAAATCGGCTGTACCACACCTACTCGGTCAAAATTTGAGGAACAGCTCAGAAGTTCACGCTAGTAAGTAGCAGTAGATCTCTTTGAAAGAGTTCGTCCAGAGAAGTACTGCCACCTTACCTATTTCAGCCGCCAAACAGTAATGTCAGTATTACTGTATTCCGGTTTTAAAGGGTAAGGGTGCTGGTGAAATTACAGGCACATGGGACTTGTCAACTTATGTCTCAGGATGATGGGCGCAGTGACAGTGCCCTTCAGAACATTGTGATTAAAGCACTGAGTGGCACTGTAACTGTTATGGACAAGAGTGTAGCTTACCATGAGGCGCATGACTTACCGTCACTTGATTTTATAAAACAAAAGAAAAATTGTGGCACCATTTAGCAGCAGTAGATCTTCTTGTGAAATATTTCGTGCAGGGAAGTACTGTCTGCCCAGTACCTTATCTATTTCTGCCGCCAACCAGTAATGAGAGCATCGCTGTGATCGGGTTTTGAAGGGTAAAGGGTGCTGGTGAAATCACTGGCACATGTCAACTTATGTCTCAGGGTGACGAACGCGGTGACAGTGCCTCTCAAGTCTTTGCGGTTTAAAGGTGTCAGTGGCATTGCAACTGCTACGTTACGGACAGATATGATACGAACGGATATGTAAGTTTCTAAAGGATATTTTCGACAACGAACTCACTAAGAACAATATGAAACTATTTCAACGTAAAGGGGCGTTTTAGGGCGGTGTTCTACGAAATTATGAATATTAATACAAATTTTCTTTGTTCGGGAAATGGATCGAGATTAAAAGTTTTCTGTAATAGCCTAAGTTCGTGATACTCTGATTGCCTATATAAAAGCTATGACGTCAGAAATGAATGCTATATTAGCTGGTATATCTACCGACATATTAATTTTCTTAGTCAATAGTGTCGGATGACTTGACAACACGTCTAATATGTTCACCAACGAATAGGGAAGGTTTAAAAAAGTATCTGTAACTTTTTTTATGCTACCAAGTTACCGCGCCTGGTGGTAACCGACGCGCCTGTTCATAACAGTTGCAGTGCCAATCAGAGCTTTAATTACAAAGATCTAAGGTGCACTGCGACTGCGCCCGTCACCCGGAGACTTAAGTTGAAAAATTCCATGTATTTCATCAACACCCTTCAAAACCGAAACGCAAAATGCTCACATTAATGCTTGATGGCAGAAATAGCTAAGGTGGCAGTAATTCCCTGGACGAACTCTCTCACAAGAAGCTCTACAAAATGTGACATAATGTGTCCGATAATATAAATAATAATAATAATAACTCACCTTTTGACACCATAGACGTAAGCAATCCCGACACACTCGCAAAACGCAATGATTAGCAAAGGAAAATTTCCGCTATACATGTCAAATAGCAGAAATATATAGCTGCCGGCTCCATGAGCGAAACCCATAGATAGAATGCAGCATACTAAACAAATTCCTCCTGTCAGATACTCCTTTCTCAAATTAGGGAATAGCTTCATATCCACGATCGATGTGACGACTCCTTCCAAAGTTCCAAATTGCGAGTCGATTCCCAGAGTAAATAGCATTAGAAAGAATAGTACAGACCAAAACTGAGCTCCAGGAAATTGATTTATTGCTTCAGTGAATATTATGAACGCTAGCCCTGTGCCTGAAGCGGTCTGAAAATAAAGAGAACATTAATTAGGAATATCTACGGGTGTGACCAAATTGGTGATCCTACGTATGATAATAGAAATTATAAAATTTTCTTTTATTGAATACCAAGATATTATTAATGTCTTTTTTGAGAAATTACTCTTGGTGCTTAATAATAGCTTGATATTATTAATGATACAAAGATGGTACGATCACTGCTAACAGGGATTAGCCCCGGGTCTGGCAAAGAGGCGCTGGTTCAACTCCAACCGGATCGAGGGAATTTTTCTTTGCGTTTACTCGATCTTTGTATCAAAAAACACCAAACAAATTATAAAAATGTTGAATATTGTGCGACATTCATCATTTGTATAAAAACAACAATTTTGTTTCTTTTTTAACCGACTTCAAAAGAAAAGAAGAAAATTCTTAATTTCGCATAATTATGCAGTGCACTCGCGTTGCACAGCGCGGATCACACGTGCTATTCATTGTAGAATAGAAGCGTTGGCTCGGTATTAAAAAAAATTACACCAAATAGTAAACATGTTTATTGTTGTATTTATGGTTATTACAAGAGTGCTTCGAATTCAAAATTTTACAGCGTTTATCTCTATTTCATAATCATATTCTCATAATCGAGATACCAATCCGCGATGCAAAGCTGCATTTGATAAAGTTTGTCAATATAGCACGAGAATACTGTGATAAATACCTTATTCTTTAAATTATAATGTGTAACTAAAATAATAATGTGACAACCACTTAAATTGGAAATCGCACATTCATAGTGTAAAGTCTAAGTTAGCAGGATTTTCATACGCACTGCGCGAAGTAAAAAAGACAACAAACATAGAGACGGCAATAACAACCTACTATGCCTACGCGCACGCTTGGCTCAGTTACGGCATCATTCTGTGGGGTAACAGCACAGATGCAGCCTCTCTATTCACCCTTAAAAAGAAGTTAATTAGAATAATAGCCAATATTGACCAGACTGATAGCTGTAGACCATATTTTCTTAAATATAAAATATTAACCCTGTCCAGTTTATATATTTTGGAAATAAGTAAATTTGTCAGGAAAAATAAACAATTTTATAAAAAACGAGAAGATATCCCATGTAAGTACTCTTTACGACGTAAAAATAAATTAGTATTGCCGACTTCACGATTAAAAATTAACTCCTCTAGTACCTACAGTTCTTCTATTAAAATTTATAATAAACTACCTGAAAATATAAAAAATTAAAACAATGACAACATTTTCATAAAAAAATTAAAACTATTTTTATCCGAAAAATGTTATTACACTATTAACGAATATTTAATAGATAATACATTCAGAGGCCTCGCAAAATGATGATAAATATTAAGGTTGTTTTTAAATTAACTTTTATAACAGTATAATATAGTATATAGTACCTACGATAAATAAGAATAAAATACTTACTATACCCATATAAAATACTACTATAAAATTGCGCTTCCTCTCTCCTAGCTCCTATGTTGCGTGCCCGACAGGGCCCATAATACTGGTCTCACTACATTTGTAACATCTTATTACGTACATTATGGTTTTGCAATATATTATTATTATTATTATTATTAACCCTACGTTCCGAGCGAACGTGTAGACATTAACGCTCCAAGTAGATGGAAGGTGTGCTACCTCATGACTGAATGCAAAGTATAAAGAGAATACTTTCTTTATACTATCTATGACCAGTGATCGGAATTGTACGAGTCAATTAACCTAAATTATGAACGTTTTTTTAGTATAGACATACCCATTTCGTCATCAATGCATATATTTTTTTGTACTGTTTTTTTTTAAATGGCTAAAGTATTTAAATATATCCATCGTATATCTTACGTACGTACATATCGTACGTATATCTATAGAAACACGACTACAATATGATTCTTTGGGACATAATATTATTATTTGTAGCAAATACTTAATGGGAAATAATATTTTGTCGCTAATGTACTCAAATTTCAATAAATAATATGCATATTCAAATATAATCAATTCCGAGAAGTCCCTAGATTTTTAGAAGGGAATAGCAACGTCATGCTTTAGTCTAGCTACATTAAGTCCGTTTACCATCCATTACAATCACCTCTTATATGACCCACGGACAAAAGAAAGCACTAATCTCGCAGAATATAACGTAGATGTTCAAGTGTTCATGTTGTAGTAAACAACCGTTGTACACTTTTTGAGAAAAGTTTTTTGAAAAAATATCTAATTAAATTTCTTTGAATAGATGTTCTTTTACTAACGATCTTTTCATTTTATAAAAGTGCCAAAATTAGACGTTTACGATGAACAAAATCTTTTAAACATCAATTTCATAATTTAAGTTCGTAGTACCATTTGTTGGCAAAATTTACAATTCAATGCGATTATATAATGACTTCAGCGCTGCTCAGATTTTAGATATTCTTGAAATATTGTCATCAGCCATTTATTTTTTAAACTCTATCTAGAGACTACCTTTCCTCGTATAATGTGGATCTATACAACTGCATATAAAAACGAATCATAAAACTTCACGTTTAAGTACGCGTTTCCATTATGTATATATTTTGTAATATTCTTAGTGTTTAAAATAAATAAAAAAAAAAAAAAAAAAAAAAAAAAACAGATAGTCGTGCAGTTCAAAGTGTCGTGGTTTGTACATTTAAGTGAAACTGTTCACATATAGTACAACACGATTAACTGTCGTTCACGACTTTTTTGTCGTTGCGACGACAGACTGTCGTGTCAATGTGAAGAGCTAGGACGACAGTCATTGGACGATAAATAAAACGTCACGATAAAAATGTAACGACAAATAATCGCAACTTCAAACGATTCCGTCGTGCAAATGACAAGGCGGCGGCCGTGAACCGATAAAATGTCGTCACGATCTAGTGTGAAAAACAAAAACTAAACACTGATATCATGACTGTCGCATCATTGTACATTAACTCAAATATTTTGTATGCTCGAAAAAAAAAAAATTTAATTAAAAAGAAGATATCCATAATATTAACCTTAGAACTAAGTCCAAACTCATGGTACAGGGTCAAGAGCACGTCAAGCTTGACACTAAAGTTTTAAATCCAATTCTATGCCGCTTACGGTAAGAACGATGCAAAGTACAAAGTGTCAAGCTTGACGTACTCTTGACTGTACCACGATTTCGTTTAACTAAGGTAAACGATTCTTTTATGGGGAACTGTATACGTTTTTACAATAAGATTCCGGAGAATATATTAAGATTATCATTTCTTAAGTTTAAAACTTACATTAAAAGTATTTTAATTGAAAAGTCATATTACAAAATTGAAGAGTATGTTTTAGATAAAGAAGTACGGAAAGACAACAAGAGTCTAGATTCCACACAATTATGATTCAAAGTGTATTCCATAGCATTTCAGTTTATTTGAAAAGAGCAATCCCAAGAGTTTCTAGCTCGTTCTTCCCAGCGTAGTGAACGAGCAGTTGCTTAAAAAGTAGCTTAAAAAATGACGTTTTCAAGTAAAAATTATACCAATGGAATAAATGATTATTTGACTTTGACTTTGACACGACAGTCGTTCAACGATAACATAAACTTCCACGACACAGTCTCGACAGATATCCGTGATATGAGAACAGGCTAGACGCGACAGTCGTCCAACGATAAATAAAACATTACGACGTAATGGGAACCCTTAAGCGTATTTACACTGGGTCGACCACCGCCTTCAGAGACTAGGTGAGGTAGTCTGCCGAATGAGGCACACTCGCTATTTACACCGAATCGATTGGCGAATTCATAATTTCAAGTTTACACACAGAGACACGTGAAATCGTTCGTAACGTTAAACAAACTGATCGGATAGCCAACGATAGAAAGATGTTTACACCTTGTCGACTCGGTCGATTTCGGCAGCGAACTACAATCGTTAAACGACTCTGTGTTTACAAGCGAAGGTGATCTATCTACCTAGTGTAAATGCGCAAATACTTTTAACTTAGCAACTTTTCTTCATGCCAAATTTAACTAAATACGAATTAAATCAAAAGACAAGCACTTACATTATCCAATTCTTTTTGTAGATCACACTCCGGCAAATTTGGCATCACCAACTGCGTCATATTCCCATTCAACTCCATCGTAACCATCTCTCCAGCATCAGGAAAAGACATTGACTTATATCCTGATCCAAAAACTTGCAACAAAGTCTCGTTTCTAACATCCAAACATTTTTCATACACCATAGTTGCTTTGAATCCAATTATTGAGAACACAACTATGCCAGCAAACATCGACGTTAAGCAGTTTGTCATAGAAACCATTATGGCATCTCTATAGCAGTTGTTGTCAACAGGATTATAGGAGGAAAAAGCTATAAGACCCCCGAAAGCAAGGCCCAATGAGAAGAATATTTGTGTACCAGCTTCGAGCCAAACAACTGGATCTAAAATCGTATGCCACTTTGGAGTAAACAAATGGATTAGGCCGTCCCCCATGCCTTTCAAAGTTATTCCTCGGAAGAAAAATATAACAAGAACGATGTAAGGAAACGTGGCAGTAACGTATACAACTTTTCCCGAAGAGGCTATGCCCTTAATCATGCACATATACACTAGGATCCAGGCTATAACAAGGGCTAAGGCAATTTTGTAATTGAAGGTCTCGGGATAGTTTATGTCCTCCGAGATTTGCAGCGTGGTTCGGTACCAGAAGTATTGTGTGGGACCGCTCGCCTGGAACAAAAGAAAGTAACGATTAATAATCCAGATAAGAAAAGGTCCAGAACAAAAAAGAAAGCACAACAGGCACCCGGTAACTTCGAGCGGCAAAACCTTTTGAACAAAATATAGGGCAAGCAATTTCGTTTCCTGTTTACTCAACTACTTGTGTCGACAGTGACAAATTCGTGGGTAACTTTCTATACGCAAATACTGATCAATACCGTCTATATCCGGGATCCGTGCTTCCGGGTCTAATGTATCAGAATGGTGCCATTTCCACGTGGATGATTTACCAAGACGGCTCAAAAATTACTTGATTCTTTTTCTATGAAGATATTTACCAATTTTCCAAAAATGTGTATCTATACACGATCTCGTTAATTTCCAATAATGTCTTTTAATTACTGTGATAATTATAACTTCTTTCTTTGAATTAAAAACCGACCTTAAAACTTATGCGATTTCGGAGTGTCCGTCGCCGCGGTCTTTTCAATAATCTAAAACGTTTATGGTAATCTTCGTCAAAATGTATCACATGAGCCCAAACACAAGGTAGCTGCTGTACACTCTTGAGGAGTTCCTCACATCAGCCTGCCATTTGTATCATCGGATTCATCCCCTAATAATCCCCCTAAGGGGTGGCATGAATGAATATCAGTAATGGTACTGATATCCCAATTCCAACAAAAAACGAAAAAAACGGAGTTATCGCATAACATACACACACAAAATACAGTACAAATAACAATAATATCTTTTTCACCTCACAAGCTCGGAAAAACTTTCTTTCTCATAAGAAATCTGTGCGCAAAAGCATTTGTTCCACGTTAGCGTGAAAAAGGTTTTTGCGATTCGAACTTGACGATAGACTGTGGTATACCTAACTTTTTCTTTCGATGAAAAAAAACATAATGACACGTTTAACTACGCGATTTGTCGTACTTTGTTATTAATATAAATCCATTGGTACGTCATGATCGGTTGTTATTTTATTCTTATTATTGTTAACATTAAATTGACAACGATATCTAATTTTGTTTATTAAATCTAATTTGTTGTAGTTCAACTGTTTTTCTTTTATATACCATTTTCAACGTTATAGTCTGGTGAAATGTTGTGTTTTTCGCGCGGCAGCAAAGTTGTATTGCGTCTCGGCCTTCAAACCGCTTCGCTCAGGATTCTATTTAAGAAAATTTCAATCTTCAAGTTCTTCGCTTGCTCACATTTCAATATCTCGCGTCAAACAACAACTTTGCAGCCTTGCACAACAAATAACTATTTTTGTTTATTAAGAAATAACTAATTTTGAATATACCGATACTGTCTAAGATTATATCAAATTTACAACTATGGCAGAGATTTCAAATTTAATGAAATTGAGAAAAGTGACGTAGATAAGTAAATAATTACCGAGAAACTACATCGATTATATTACTCCAGTTTCCTCTGTTTATTTTACACGAATTCGTGCTGATCTTTAACTCAAATCTTATCGACGAAATTAGATACACAAATAGCAAAATTTAATGATCAATCTCGCAATTTCTGATTGAATGTTGACTTAGTTAAATGTACAATCAAAATTTAAATTTTGAACGGTTCTTACCAAGTTGTATTTCAATGTCAGGTATAAAGCTGAACTCGTTTCTAAATTCGGACTTAACTTTCTCTACTCTAATAACATGGACTTTAGATATAATTATGTCAAATGTATCTAGTGCAAAGTGAGTGCAACTTTAAAAGCCTTTAACCTTAAACCTCGACGCAGAAAGAGGGGAGTCATAAATTTATGTGTGTCTATCTATCTGAGGCATCGTAGCTACCAAACCAGTGGCCTACTACACTTCTAGGTGCAGCCCGAAACGCTGTCATTAGGAAGGTGCTTTTTAAAACTAAGGCTTCTAAGTTTTTAAATCTTGAGATATACATTAGGTTTTGTGTTTAATTTATTACAAGTAAGGAAGTAAATTTAAAACCAACTACTTTTAAATAAATGACTTAACAAATGGTCATCAATCAACAATGTTGCGGCCCGTGTTACATAGCATCATATGTATGTGGTCCGAAGGGAAAAAAAAGGTTAAGTATGTTTTAGAGTAAGAAATGAATTTATGGGTCGTGTACCATTAAACAATAGGCAGGCGACAGGACAGAAACCTCGGCAGTTAACTGACCGGACATCAATGTACAAAACCAAACCGCTGCATAGACACTCTACTCAGTTTTAATACTTAAAAATAAGACTGTGTTCATATACAAGCAAACCTGTAAATACATTTTGTATAAACAGTCTGATAATTAGAAGTTAATCTCTCTATGAATCCAGGCACCAGCGCTGTCTCATTATCGACAGAACTCTCCCGACGACCGTATCCTTTCATTGCAGCCAAGAAACCTTAATAACTGATATTGACCAGAATAACTGATCAGTATTGTGAGCCTCAAACAACAGGCAGACTCAAATGGGATTACGCGGGACATATAAGCAAACCGAGAAGTGGGCGAACGTCGTCACTCCTTGGGTGCCTGAGGATGGAAGGCGAAGGCGGTAACGGTCGAGAAGGCGTTAGCGGGACGATCTTGATGGGTTTGAAATGGAGTGGAGCAGTGGCAAACAATAGGTTCATAAATAATTTCAGTACAGAGTACTAAAAAACCGACCGACAGAAGTTCCAGGATTAACATCTATTTGCCAAGTTTTATGGAAATCAGTTGCCGAAAAGTGCGAAAAACCATTCATTCCCCTAGTTTGCCACCCGTACAGGTAGAATATTTTCAAATTTAAATGGAACCAATCTGAGGAGGGACCTTTTTGTTTCCAACAAAAAAAGAATCATCAAAAGTTATCTCGAGTTAACATACATAAATAAAAAATATCGAATTCGAATTGAGAACCACAACTTTTTTAATTCGGAGGAAAAAAGTGATCCATTTGACTGGCAGTTCAAAAATTCGAAAATTCTTTCCTGAGCAAGCTCACAACGTGCGCACCTTCCTTCCCCTTTCCGTCTCTTATCTTTAATCGCGCGGTGACCGATTTCCCGTACTATCTTTAAACGTATGAGTAATATTTTTATGGTCAGGGTTAGATGGTTAGATAGGAGCCTAGGGTTGTTTGTGATAGGTTACATCTCTCCCTCATTACTTCATGCATAGACAGCTAGCTATAATTACACACAAGGCGCTACTATATGTATACCTAGTAACACTACCGACATTTAATATCCCACATGACTAGTGACAGGTCATGGAAAATTTCATTTTGAAAAAATCATATTTTTTTCCGGATATTTTTCCAATATGTTTCCTCTAATTTTCCGCTGAAGTTGATACATGTCACAAGTTGAAGTTACTGAATGAAAACGATGGAGCCAACAATGTGTTGTGGTTGTTGGAAGTTTTTTCGCTGTGACATGACTCATACAACACAAATTCATAAGCAGATGTGGCTCTACATAAGTCTTTGTTTTATTTTTGGTTTTAAAAAAAGCTACTGTCGATCCCGACAGTAAGGCTTTCTGTTCTTTAAGTTTCCTTATTTATTCGGTTTAAAACTTAGATTATTTATTTTAACAATCAAGGAAGATCTTTACTGCCTTAAACTCGTTCCAAAATAGTTAATTTCATTAACAAGACTAAAGAGCGATGACCATTTAGTGGCGGCATTAAGATGCAAATGTGTACTCCCGGAAATTAATTCATTTAACGGCAAACGACCATAAAACGAAGTTTCTTGTTCTACGAGTGAAATGGCAATAAGTGTATTCTTCCATTTGAATAGTATTGAGAGATTCGTACGGCCCTTTCTAGTAAAGCTTGTAATTTTAACAAAAAAAAAAGTCTTTAGCAAACGGAAGGGAAGTAAAAATAGGTGTCAATGCGTAATTTGAAATTCAGTGCCATAGTCCGCTTGTGGCTGTGGTATAACCTGTGAGAATGAGAATGAGGTCATTTTGCGTACGGCCACAGCCGCTCAAATAACATTACAAAATGTGTAGTCATTGTAATTATTTTGTTTATTGATTTTTGTCTGTTTTGCTTTACTTTATGTTGTTTTTTCTTGTTTTTGTATTTTATATTTTAATTCTTTCTATTTTGTTTTGCTGGTCTAAGTATTATTAATCTTTTGTTTGTGTCTATGTGTTGTAGCGTTGCAATAAATGTCTATTCTATGCAAATTTTTACCGTTTCAGTACGTATACAGTAAAACGACTCTGAAATGTTAAAGTCCGTTGCTCTGATTGGAATCAGAAGGAAGGAAGTAAGTAACACAAACACCCAGACCCGAGAAAGTATAGAGAAGTTAGTTTTTCTACGCTGTCCTGGCCGGGGATTAAACCCGGGACCTCGAAGATGTTGCACCATGAAAATCGGTGTGCAAGCCACTCGACCACAGAAATCGTCAAAATATGTATGTCACATATGTCACGGCTGTATTTCTTCGGAAACCACTATTCCGTAGAAGAAGAGTTCCGTGTGAAAGAGTTAGTGAAATAAGGTTATCCTGCAGGGAAACAAAGCCGTCGACATAACTAGTAGAATAAGCAAGCTGAAGTGACAATAGGCTGGCCATACCTGTCGAAGAACCGATAACCGTGGGGAAAGCGAGTTTTTGAGTGGAGACCACGACTCGGCAAACGTAGCTTAGGACGCCCTCGGACCAGTTGGAGTGAAGATTTGAGAAAGACTGCTGGCAACAGATTGATGCGATAAACCGAGGACAGGACTAAATGACGCGCATTAAGAGAGGCCTAAGTCCAGCAATGGAGATGATAATGATGTCGAAGTAAGCCAAGATAATATCCATGATATTGAGTAATAAATGTCATATTGTATACCATAAAATATAAACCTAATACAACCAACAAGCTGGCCACTTATATGCGGTGGTCGAGATTTTGAAGCTTCGAGTCCATAAAATAACGGGAATATTGGTCGTCAGCCTAATACACAAGACAATAAATTACCAATGTCGCAGCCCTTGGCGGATAAAGTGCCGTAGTGTAAGAAAA